ACTTACTGAAAAGTACAGAAATACATTCTACAAGGTAGCGATGAAATACAATAGTTAATACATGGTAGTCTATTAAAACCAAGTTTTATTTACATTTTACTAATTTTACAAACAACAGCAGATCACCATGATATCATAAAATAGTATAAAAGTTATTTACAATCGCAGATAAAACGCTTTAATCGATTAAGTTAGCATATACCGTACCGTAGGCCATGAACTATCGCCATAATGGAAAATTAATGGATGTTAGCCTTGCGTAAACAACTTCTCAAACATAATCAATAGAAGAAAAAACCTATAAGAATGAGCTAATAAAGCCATTCTTAGTAAGGAAATTTAATTCTTTTTCTGTTTCAATGCTTTTATTGCAAGTCGAAGCATTTTTAAGCTATTATATAGTTATGGCTTATAACAAATGCCCGCTTTTTATTTTAAGAAATAAAGAAGCATACTCATCGATCATATTATGAATCGCTATCTTCAACGTCATATATATATTTGTTAAATGATAGGCTAAAATAAATGATCTCCAATTATTAAAAAGAAAAAGAATTAAAATAATGAAGGGATATCCCAACTTCAGTAAGGCAATTTGATTCTTTCATATTTTATAATTATTTTCACTGGAAATGGATGCCTTTTAACTAATTCTAGTTCTATCTTTGTAACGTGTATTGATACTAAAGAGAAAGAAAATCCTTTACTCAAATAACTTATGAATCATAATCATGTAAAGCAGTGGAAAGCGAACCTAAAATAAATATCTCCTACAATTAGCCACTAAAATAGCTACAACAATGAACTCAAAAAGTCATTCTTAGTAAAATAATCCGATTATTGTAGATTCTATAGAATAAAATTTTCTAATTAAGACTAAAGCAATTCAATATAAGTAAATCGATTTTATCAGAAATCTGTTTCCTCATTATTAAGGGAAAATAGATTTTATTTACTTACTATATCGGTATTAAACATGTCGTCTTACGCCAGTAAAATGAACCGAAATGCATGCTAAATTAGTTTTTTTAGGTAGCTTTAAATACTTACCATTTCTATACGATAGCAGGACATAGGTAGGAATACGTTTACTATCATCGTCTTATGCTAGTATACCTATCTACTAGGAAGATTTCAGTAATAGTTATAATTTAAACACTGTAGAACAGTTATTAAGATCACATGCATGTACCATGAAAAAGTAATTTCATTTCCTTTTAAACCAAACAGATAAATGATTGCTAGTATCTGTAAATTCCATAAAAGCTAGTTATTTCTTAACGAAGTAATTATTTACTTTTTATCTAATACGAAGCAAAGCCAACTGAAAAGTGTTATAATAATAGATGATAGGTCGTAATAGCATGAGTATTTCTTCACGCTAAGGGTGAAAGATGATACTATGATATGATTTAATAACACTATAAAACCATCAACTATTTCTAACTATTAGGATTTCGCCTTCAAAAATCCTGCTGACAATTCTAGTTTTGGTGAAAGAAATAAATTTAAAATAATAATAAAATCATAGCCTTTAACAGGAGCAATCATTAGTTTAATTACGCTCGCTGCTAACATTGACCATATAGTATGGGAAGTAACTTATTAATTTAAGAATTTCAAATAATAAACAAACCAAATCATTGCATTTGAATGCAAATTAATTAATTACTTTCAGCCGTCAGATTCAAACAATTATAAGTCATTCATTTCATCTTAAAATTATCAGAAACGAACTACAACTATATTATTGATAATATTGAATTTTAAATTCTATTCAAATTTAGTTCATGTTTAAAGATACTTCTAAGGATATCATATTGGTATCACAATGACTACAAGAACATTAAATTAAATTACGTGATTTTTATAATATATTAATTGGAAAGCTATATAAATAACTAGTGTAGTAATTGATCAGAACCCTTTAACATAGATCTAATTCTAATTTTCCGTCTACCCTAAAATAAATTTACAATCAGCAAGCTATGAAATCATTAGCTATATCTCCATCTTAATCTATTTGTAATTTCGTCATTATCGGTGATTTTTAGTGGCAATATCATCAAGCTATATTCTAATAATGATTATCAATATACATTGAAATATTATGAGATTAAGACTTCTACTATCGAAGGTTTTTTGTTTACTTCTCAGTTTTTCTGCAAACAAATCGTATTCTTTGGTTAAGTAAAGTCCAACATAATTGGTGCTCCATAACCATAATTGGTAATTGAAATTAAATTATCAAATATAACCTAATGCAGCTCAGCTATAGAAATTATCTGAATCAATATCTGATATTTCTAATATCATAAATCGAAGTCTGTAAAGAGAAAATACGATGAGTTTATAACCAATTTACCACCAAGAGGTAATCGTCAATATGCACCTCTCCTAAGCTGAAATTTTAAGCTCAAATGAAATGCCAACTCATTTGTAGCTGCTATGCTTCATTTACGTTGATTAAATTTACACGAAGAATGTTTTCATAATACTGCATTTTCCATAAGTATAGGTGATGCTCTGTTGGTACGTATAAGTGTGCTTATTACCAACATGCACAAAGTTAAATTATCTGGCTAAATCACGATTACTGCTCGATAGCATTTGCATAACTGCAAAAAACTTGGGTAGTCTATCAGAGTAAATAACTTTCTCAGGCTAAAATGTATTGCAGGATAGTGCCATTTCCAAAATTGTAAATTAAAATTAAACTGAAATTCTTAACTTCATGATTTTTAAGTCAAGAAAGAATGAACGTAAATTAAAGTTACTTTATACATAGCTGCATTTACTAACTAATAGAATTTGTCAAATTTTTAACATTTCATTTTCATGATTACCTTATGAAAGGAAATATTTCTAATTGATCAAGAAAAGAAAAATTAGTCTTCCGTAACCAAGCTTTATATTGCACAATAAATATCGATAGATTATGAAATAAATGCGTAGGCAAAACAATATGTTATTCATTACTATCATGTTCTTATTCTGGTGATTTATTAATTATATTTTTATCAACACTAAAGATTTTAAATTTAAAAGTTTTATTATGTCCTTCAATTAATATATTACCTTTACAATTAAAAGGTATAGTTTAGATTTGGTTTTATTGAAGCGGTATAGCGTGTACTCAAATATTTTCATCGGGCATCATAATTGCTATTTATCTATCGATATTTGCAAATACAAAGTCCAAATTATATTATGACTTCCGTCTATCTCTTTATCTACTATTCGCCAACTCCACGTAAGCAAAAAATTAAAATAAAATGTGCTTCTATGGTTCGAATCATGCCAATGTTGTTTAAGAAATCAGAACTTCGTAAATGGCGAATTGAATATGAATCCTTAAAATTTATTAAAAATAAGAATTTCTTAAAAAACTGATGGTATCTTCACATTAAAACTTATCTATTAGATTAAATATAGCAAACTAATTAACAAAATTAAATGCAAAATTTTGATTTAACGAAGTCCATTTTATTTATGAGTAATAACCTAATTATAGATGCCTTCTGTTGCCGTCTCTTTAATTCATCATTATTTAAAAAACTTTTACAAATTTACTCCCAATACAAATTTTTACGAAAAGACATCCTTTAGCAAATTCAATACCTATAGATATTTTTAGAGACTGCCTAATTCTCTTATTAAAATAATCTCTAATGTTGTCAGCTTTTAGAAAAACAATTAGTATTTTTGCATATTGAGGCAAATTGAGAAAGTGGGCAAACAGTACATTTTAATTCGTTGATTGAAGCTTAGAAACGGAGCTTGTCAAAAAGAATATTCTCGTTTTACGGATCCAAGTTATATACATTTATCTTAATATTAGGAAATAAATAATTTTTACTGCACAGAGAATCATCTCGATAAATCACACTACTAAATAAAGACTTATTAATGCCTTAAATTAATTATAAACGCCAATAGTATTGGATAAAAAACTAACCTATAAATAATAACAAAACTAATATCGACTTAAATTATTATAATGTGAACCTATAAAAAATAGGTTCCGAAGCGAATCCCGATAACTGCAAGTAAGATGACGGCGCTAGACTTGAATTAACTGGCAATATCAAGGGTTATACTTATGCATTAGGTAGTTGAGCGCTGTTAGTGGACAATACAATAATTTAGATACGATAGTTTATCCCCTTAACTGAGAACGCAAGACACCCCGGTAGGCGGCATCGGCATATCTCAGTAACCAGTGTCTGATTAGTTCATGTTTGTCAACATGTAAAGAGCGATATGAAAGTTTTACATTTTTAGGAGATTTCAGCCTGAAATCTAACTGTCTATAGGTTACTTGGTCCAAGTTTGCTATCGTAATGTTCAACAACAGTTTTAGGTAATAAGCTATTTCATTCGCTACATTTGGGAGACAAGTTATTAAGTGACCGTTTCAGAGCAGAGATAAAAATAGTATTTTATTAAAGAACCATATAATGGTTTTACATAGTCTCTGTTGCTAAATGATTTCACGATCAGAAATTGCCATAGGCGATACAATAAGTAATTATTTTTCATGTTTAATCTAATTCTAGGCAATTTTTTTAGCAACTGACAGGTCCATAAAAAAATTATCACATTCTATCATAGCTTGAGACTAGCGATACCGTATATATTATTTGATGCCCATCCTAGTTTAGGGCCAATATTTTTTCTTGTACAGGAAATAAAAATCGAAACTTAAATACAATATCTATAATCATAAGATAACTGATAGCTCCGCGAATGATTCCGGCGAATTTTTAGATTAATAAAAAATCGAAGAGTTCGTGAAAGCCTTTACGCTTGGAATAATCTCAGCAGTACAAGCCAATTCGAGACAATTATAAATACTTTCCTATCTGTCCATCGGTAGTATTATCTCCACATCAATATCTAGAATAACTACTGGTACCACAGTTAACGTCTGTCCAACCCTAATTTTAAAAAGAATATTTTCAATCTCCCCAACACGGTAGCCAGTAGAAAGATTTTGATCAGGAAGATATTTTAACTCTTGCATTATTGACGATAGGCGTACATGATAATGGCGAGACGCGCGATGAACGGCATAACACTCGCATGACCGGATTTCGTATTTCAGGGATAAAATATCCATACAGCAAAGGATTAATTGCCGGATAAGTAAAGGCAATATATTGTGCCACAGCTAAAGCCTCTCTATAGCCTTGAAGGGAAGTAGCAATCTCAAACGGTGAATAAAATAAGGAAATAATATAAATGGAGGTAAATGGTGTCCACATGATGAAATAAGTCAACACCAGAATGCCTAGAACACGAGCCAGCTTGTAGTGCTTTCTCATCGAACGTGCATCATTATTTATGGGAGAATTAAAGTACAATGATTTACTAGCAATAAAATATATCCGCGTGTAACAGCCAATCATCACCAGTAAGGGCAAGATGAAAAAGAGAGCGAGGAAAATCATATTAAAGATCGTTTCTTTATATTGCTGTGCATTATGCCATGGATAACATAAGCCCTGGTAAATTGGTCGATATGCTATTAGTGGCATAAATGCCATTAGTAACGTTAGAATCCATATACAAGCAACAGCAAGGTAAGCATGCAAAGGCCTGGCAGATACTTTATAGCGTATAGCAAATTGAGTGGCAATAAATTTGTCTATACTTGCTGCCATTAGATGCATGTTAATGATTGCACTAGCTAATGGAGCAAAAACCGCCACAAGTGAGCAGTATAGCCAATCGCGGTAGTAGAACGGATTGACCCAGCGAGGAAATATATAGACTGCTGCAAATAAAATATCGCTAAAGAACATACTGCCTAAAATAACATTGGTCGTATTATGTAACCTTTTTCTAGCTATAATTATAGCCAAAACAACGAAATTTAGCATGACAGTAATAGCTCCAATAAATCCCCAGATGATCGATGTGGTAATAAAGTCATTATTACTGGTTGCATTCGTTGGAAGATCTTCATCATCAAAAGAACTATTTGAGGGCATAAAAGTTGGCAACAACCAGCCGCTCGTTAAAGAATTGACGTTATTTGAGGTCATAATTCAGACGCAGACTGTTCACGCTTTCAATTAATGTAAGTAAACCTAAAGGTGGAAAATAACAGTCAATGGGCTCGTACAGTTCTCTAGAGTTGCAAATCCAATGGTTGACCATCACGATTAAGTAAACCAGATTGAGAACCAGAGCACTACATCGAAGCCTTTATTCATCACTTAGACGACCTGACGATAAATACAGAAAACGAGCATCTTATATCAGTAAAAATATAAAATTAGCAGGAAAACAAGACTTTAAAGTAATTGTGTTTCTTAACGACTTCTATACTCAATCACGAATCAGTTTACGAAACATCTTCATATAATATAATAGTGTGCACTACAGTACTAGAACAAACCTGTTTATATCATATGTTGATTAGAAAATCTCCCATTTAACTATCAACTAAATACGATCAATCGCGAATCATTTGTGTAATAAATATTTTAGAAATTGTTGTAGATGACATTTTGAGAGCTAATACAAGTATAATTAAATATCATGTCGCAGAAACAGGAATATCTGTTCACATGCTTATTTCAGTATAAGGCCGAGTTAATGCATGGAATAAGTTTACCCAGTCAAATTCTGATGATCTCTTAGACCAAAGTAATAATACAACTTTGTCCGCAGTACGAAAGTACAGTCTTGGCCTATTCATCATTCCTTATTACGTAAGTTCTTTCTGTTGGTTTATTGTAGGCATTTTGACATATTGTTCAAGGATAGTGAATGTACTGTTTACTAATGTCAATAATCTGTAAGCGAGTAGACGAAAACAATGATGCGGAAGTTGGATAAATGATCGTGCTGTCATGTCGCTAATTGATGTTAATTTCAAAGTAGCATATTTAACTTCTGTCAAGAAGAATGCTTTACTGTAGTTTAATGGCCATTCCATGAACTTATGGATTCTAAGTAACAGCAATTATGTAACCCTTATCAACAGTCGATTATCTGCTTAATTAGATAAAACGGCAAGAGGTGGCTAATAGCCTGTTTATCGCACCTAAATTCACTTTTAATTGACCGTGATTCATTTTTTTGTCTATGATTTATTCATATAATGACTGTAATTAAGCAATGTTTTAAGGTTAATCCTTTTTTAAAGATTTGATTTTAAATATACGCGTATGATGCTTTTTCCAGTGACAAATTTACACTATAAAATATCGTTTTTAACAAGAGTAGAAAAATTAAAAAACACTGCTCTTTCAGTAGCAATACGTCTGTCATAACCAAATTTAACAACTAACTTTTAAAGATGATTCTAAGCCTTTAATATCAGCTAACACTAATTGTTACGGTAGCGATCAATCATTACAACATCAAATTTTACTGTATGAAATGGCTGAAGGTACGTGAACTGATAGAATAGTACCGTAATGCGATTTCCTTTTAATGCGGGACAGATGCTTTGATCAAATAGCAAACTTTGAAATTTTAATTTTGATCATCGCTATGAAATCAAGTGCTAGAGTAATTCCAACCATCATCTACTTATAATAAATATATAATCCAAGCATATATAAATCAGTTAGTAAAATTCGGATTATAATGAAGGTCTACTACTGATTGATTCTGAAATTAACAGCAAATCAAAAAGAGGCATTCATTAAAGCGATCAGTAATATTTTATTCCATAGCTAGAAAAATGTATCAAATTTTATATTTAGCTGGATTTTTATAAAATAAATCATTATTATTCCAAACCTTGAACTGGCCAAGTTTCTGGTTACGGCTGATTAGAACACTTTAGTTGACATAATGACAGCTTCAGTAATAGTTTTAAGTTTAAAAGAATGAATCTTTTGTAGAAATAGGGTCATATTCTACATCTCACGTACATTAAGACCTCTTATTGCCTCCAGAAGCTTTATCAAAAGTCAAATTAACAATCTTTGTTTATAGAATCATCAATAATATTCCATGGTGATTCTATTGTCCTTTATTGCATATTATGAAACAAAATTCGCATCTCTAGTTACCGAATTTGACGTCATCGAAATACCGTGTGACAGTGTGAAATACTATATTAAAGTAGAAATATTTATGTTAGGACAATTTTGTTAGCCTATCCTTATTTAGTTAATTTCTAATTTGGATATACTGCGTTTTAATATAGCACTGACTTTTTTTGACAGTGACATATATATCGTTTACTACATATACTGAAATTAATAGTTATATTAGGGAATACGAATTATCTACTTAACAGTTCGAATCATTGTGATTGTAACTTACTTATGGTAGATTGTAAATTATCGTGGAAATGTCCCGTGATAGGATATATCGTAATCGGTCTATTCTGTATTAGTCATCAGATGTCTATGTTCGTAAATACTGTTATCTGCATTAGGGAGGAGTAGCTAAAATTAATGTCTAATTCAGTCAATGATTCCAAAGTTAATCGCACTAACCATGATTCATGAATTTTTGAGGAAGAGTATATAAACGCAATATATCTTGAAATAAAGTTAATTCTTAAATTTAGTGTTTAAGGTAAATACGAGGCGTTAGTATTTATGTAGTCTGCTAGTAGAGCAAAAGTGTTCCTGATGGTACAAATATCGTTCCTTAATACATAGTTCAAGGAATTGACTTATTGATCGTACATTCCGTTATCGTGTTGCAAAGCTGTTTTATGGCATACCGAAAGTAAATTTTTATAGCAAAGCCTAAAATAGTAACGGCGCCGATCGTATTGTACTCTGCTTAATCAGCTCTTATTCAAAATACTAACACTGTATTTGTCTAAAATAATCCTATCCGATTACAAAGAAATAATTTACAAGCAGAATTCTGGCAAGAGGATAAAGCGACGAGTGTACATCTAGATATACAACTCGATATGCTTTCTCTACTATCTAATCAGCCATAAACATTTAAAGCCTTAGTTATCAGTCAATACTAATATCTTTCAAGAAGTAAACTAAGTTACGAAACTAAATCGATTATCAGCTAGTTTTATGGCTCAGCTACATAAAGTTTACTACCATTAAGACAAAATTTATCAAATTAAATCGAATTCTATCAAAGTTGGCAAGGTGAAGATAGATTCGCTTTCAATAATGACCCAGAAACTTTATCTAATGAATACAACAATTTTCAAATTCGAACAAAGTTCACTCCATATGATATCAGAAATTATTTAATCGCTGGTTGACAGATCTTAATTGCATCCATATTTGAATCATGTAGCAATAAGTTTACTCCATAAGACCTGAGAAATTATTAAATCGTTGATGATTAGATATTACGTATAATTAAATTCCTAATACTATAAGAAATTAAATATATTCCATGGAATGGAAAAATTAAGCCGTTATTGGCTAGATCTTACGTACATTAACATGATTGAATAAGTTAAACCCTTTTGAGACGATCAATAAAAAGTAGAGAAAAGTGTTGTGGTGCTTTGTAGTCAGGTCGATAATTCTTTATCAAAGTTATTTACTATTCTCAGTTATTTAACATCTGTTTTAATTATTGGATAAAAATAATGACACAGTTCTAATATTGTTATAAACAATCTTCGTACACTACAAGCTTAATTGAATAAGGAAATAATTGTTTTATTATTGATAAAATGTCTAATAGCTATTCCGTATAGAAAGAGTCTTTTGGACCTATAAAGGACGAAGTAAATATCTATTGATATAATTTCAACAATTACTAGATAATTGTTTAATTTGCCGTCTACAAATAGCTTTCGAGCCTTCAAGATTGACCTCCAAATCTTAATTTTAATTCAATAATGTTGACTTTCAAATCTGATTATAATTCAGTAGCATTGTTTAAGCTATACTTGATAGCAACTATTTTTCTAACAGCAATCGTAAAATTAGCCAAGCGTTAATTTGCAAATACAAAGACCTGAGATTTTTACTTGAATAAAATAATTTTATTTATAATAAGAAGAATCCTACTGAAACAAGTTTACATATGTAATTTTAAGTATTTTATGTCATAGAACTAATAAGTTGATATCTAGTCGTACTAGCTTCTAATTACCAACAGACATAATGGTTATATGAAGATCAAGAATGAAAACATTTAAATTAAACGAACGCCTTGATAACAACGTGGTAGGAACGTGAAGAAGTCAAGTTCCTAAGATACATGACGTATAGAATATTTCTTGATACATCTACAGTATGATAAAGATTATGGAATTAGGAATGTTTAAAATTTAAGAAAAACTTGGATCAAAATCATTAAATCAGTTATAAGGTAAAGTCCTATCCGCATCTATCGAGTATGCCGAAGAGCTGAAGAAATCGATAAACTACCAAACACCATTCACCGTAAACACTCGAGATACTTTAGTCTATTCTAAATTTATTTTGTTACAATCATTTAATAAGTTTAAATTTATAACAGCTTCTATAACTTAAACATCAATCAATCAATTAGAACAGGCTCTGTAAATGTATTTCTGTGAAGCATATAGACACAGCTAACGATGAAGCAATAGTATCAGTCAATTTCTAATTCAATAACATCGTGGACATTTCTCAATATCTAAAATAGTGATCTAAGAAAACTTGATCTCAGCCATCTGTAAATATATCAGTGTATAACATTATCTGACTAATATCTATTTCTAGAATAAATCATTTATAAAATACTAGATTAATAGAGAAAATTAATAAGGGACTGGCTAAACCATATTTGGTCTATTCTATCCGTGGTTCTACTTAATAAAAATATAAATACAAGAATAGCCAACCTATATCTAATTCTATAATACTCCTAATATAATAATGACTGGCCCATAAACCTTTAATTTAGCGATCATTTTTATGTTAGCCATCATCATTATAAACTTTGAATCCCATCCGAATCTGTGTCATCGTACCAGACCATTACTCCAAATGCGAGAAGTTGGTCGATATAAGAAATTTCACGATTTTCTCTTTTTTGGTACCCTTCTCCATCTGAATGCCGGAATCTTGTTGGAAAGGAACTACTGCCGTTTCTCTACGCCAAAATATCCACC